CAGGTCAGTCATTGGGAAATCACAACGCCGGCAGTTTGATTCGGCATCTGTCTGAATTTTTAGCTCTCATCGTGGAATTCAATTAATACTCTTTGGTATAATTATGAATCACAACATTTCTTATCTGCGAAATACAGTTTTTCCGGCAGTTTGTTTTATGTAGCCTATGCGCAGTTCGTCTACGGCAGCTGTCGTTAGAAATATTGATTGGCTTCTTATGATGGGACGAAAAGAATATACGAGGGTTGTCATACAGTATGGGCCAAAATGTCATTCTGCCTTCTAAACAACTAATTAGAAAACAAAAACTTCATCGTGTGATTTGGTGAAGCCTCGTGACCTAGTTCACGGACGTTCTTTTACGCGGAAGAAAGTAATCTATGTGAAACGATCAAAATAAGCAAATCCTTCCCAACTAAAAAACTTCGGCCACTAGGCCTTTATTGAATACGCTTACCATCAGTTTGATTTTATCTTATCTGGATACGTGATTTCTGTGTGCTCAATTAATGTCGCTTACTTCGATGTCGACTTTATATGCACACTGATTGTAAACATACCCGATAATATTTCAGAAGAGGAAAGACAAAAATGCCCCTCCGTGACATCAAATGTGATGGGCAAATTAATTACAGTTCAAACGCTGCGCAAAATCTGACACTGACCTGAAGACGCGTAGCCTCCCAACCGACTCTTGTCATCCTTTTAATACATGGAAGCAAATATTTTTGTTCATCTTGAGGTGTTTGCTAGCATTTCTATGCATTGTTTAAACGCGTTTTAAAGTATGCGCGAGATTGGTTTATAGTTTACCATGGTATTATCTGAGGTACTTGTGTTCTGCCTTTGAGCTTCTATGAAGAGCGCAGCCAGGCTTTCATTTAAAATGAAGAAAATATAATTAAAATGTGTTATAAATGCAAATAAAAGGCGATCTCTACTTTCGGCATGTTTGCATAATTAGCGAGCAATGGTTAAACCCCAAAATAGGTGTTAGCCATGAGTTAAATGTGAGCAATTTGATCGTTGGGCATTGATCCGAACTCGTGCTGGATCAGTCTATTTTGACTGCTATCCGGAAAGCCGATATTCCCATGCATATTAATCCGTATTTATTGCAGAAGGGATTATGAAGCCATTAAGTGCTGTCTTGGGGTCTTTAGTCAGAACCAACTCAAGCGGCTGCGTAGTAATGAACCTCTAACCTCTTAGGTTAGAGAAGTACTTATTATTCCAATCCCCGGTGTCAATATAGTTGCGTTTCAGAAACATAGAAAACGGGTTTGAGTGTGCCCTTCACTACAAACAATGTTGCAGGTGGCAACGCTGTTGCAAATGTCAAGAGATTATTTATTTATTCTACTCCCCTACAAGTTCACCCGTAGTGTATACGTAGCCTTTCCAAAAATGTGAGCCTGAACTATATATACCTGTGTTGAAAGAAGCATGCCGCAATTTTGTGTCGAGGTACTAATTTTAAAATGTAACACAATAGCTGCTCTCACGCATTTGACCATATTATACGCTACAGGGGTACATTAATTATTGTTGGCGACTTCCATTTATGTTGATAGTAATAAAGCTTTTATAGTTCGGTGTTTAATTTCTATTAACAAAAACCCTCTTTTCATTGCCAAAAGCTTATTTGGTACTTCTCAAAGTTGCAGGCAATTATACCGAAGATACAAAATGTTAGATGCGTTTGAATTCTAAGTAGTGTTTTAGATCTGCCTTTAGACCATTGTGGGTACCAATCTAGAAATCTCAAGATTAATTTCTTGAAATGCTGAGCAACATATTATTTGCGTGTTTTTGGGCATAAGTAAGTCATCGAGCATCTTGATTTTATTTAAGTCGTACAGTTTTCGACCGAGTCCTGCCAACTTCCAAGAACACTGCGGAAAAAATATTTGCATTGGCTACCTGTAACGCTCAACTTGTTTTAGACATACGAGGATGCGTTCGCAAGAATTATTTTATAATCTTAATTCCGCTAACAGTACAGACGTTAAACTTTCAACGCTATAAATTACCAACACTACATTTTATACGTGCCAGTTAACTAGCGCACCACATTATTAATGGACGTGCGCAGTTCGCGAATGTTCTTGTTAACCTCTATTAGTTTTCCTTCCATTTCAGTTCAACCGCAACCTTCTACACTCTGTTTTGGGCCCTCTTCGGCCAGTCTTCCAATAACGTTACCACAATCGAGGAGGAACTGGCCAGCGTCTATCCCGGGCATATGGATCTGCGAGTAGACAACAGTTCCTTCATGATAACCAGTTTGGGCTCTATTCTCTATGCCATTTACAATGCCTGCATGATCATAATCTTGCTCAATATGCTCATCGCTATGATGAGTAAGTCCTTCGATGAGATTCAGGTGAGTGGCAGCTTTTTTATATTTCAGCAAACCAAACTGATTGATACCCCAGTTTGAGTGCTGCAAAGACAACAGTTTTTACTCGTTGATAAACGTTAGCCGACTGCTAGCGGAACTAACTTCTTCCGCTCTGCCCTGCCTTGGGCCTCATTTCTCAGGCCCTGACAGTAGTCAGCCTTTGCCAGCAATATTATCTGAATATGCTACTAGCTGCTATGACTGCCGTCAGTGTCCTAGAAAGTATACAACGTGTTTCACCTTCATTGTGAACTTGTATGAGCAGTGCATTGATGCATTCTAATACCTTAAAGAAAGGTGTGACTTTGCTCAGTTGGAAGGTATACATCATATCGGGTTCAACATTACTTACCCATTGAAAAACTAAAAGTACCTTTTCTTAATATACAAAATTTCAAGAAAACGTATCCCGTTACCAGAAAATGTCAATCAATAGTATTTTCGTGCATGTGTGGGATGTAATATGTTCGAGGTTATAAAGACATTTGAAATAAATGGGCAAAATATAGACTGCTTAAGCAGCAATTTTTTTCTGGCGTATAGTTTTGGCAGGCGGTCAGAACGAAAATAGTTCAAAAGCCAGCATCATGACGTGACTGCACGATAAGTAATATGACAGCCCTACTTAAGTTAACTTTTTTAAAACGCAAACATATTTCAGAGATTATTGCCGGCAATGACAAGGCAGACTGGAATGGCCATTTCTGGCTTCTTAGCCGTCGTCAGACGGTCATACCTAGCCCCAAGCGGTGCTTCACCCGAGCCTCGAACTCGCGGGCTCTTTGATCAGAGTCTACCGCCCTAAACATTGAGTCACGAGCTCGCTGTCTTGCCGGTTTAGGTTGACAGATATTGGCACTCGCTGAACATTCATCGAGCGCTAACCGAACTCACTTGTACCGCTCTGCCTTGTGCCTCATTTCCTCGACCCTGACAGCAGTCATAGCAGCTATTAATATAGGCAGATAATATTGCAGGCAAAGACAAGGAAGACTGGAACGGCTGGTTAACATTCATCAACGAGTGTCAACACCTCCTGACCTAAACCGGCAAGACAACGAGCTTCTGGCTCAGTGTTTAGGGCGTTAGACTCTGATCAAATTATCGCGTGTCCGAGGCTCGACTGGTGCACCACTTGGGTTTATTCATGACTGGCTTACGACGGCTATTCAGCCAGAAATACCCATTCCAGTCTCCCTTGCCTGTGCCGGCAATACTAGCTGCCTATACAAGCATTTTCCTGAAATAAGTTCGTTAAAAGCTTCTAGGTTTGCATATTGTGTGAAATATGAACGGAGAAATTTCAGAAAGGAATGTTCGATTCTCCAGAGCACTTTACCTTCCCGAGTCCAGTTGTGCAGTATTTTAACCTATTTTTTCATCGAAAACCATTGTTGCATAGCCATCTCAGCTACGACAATTTCGCTCTCTTTTAATACTCAAAATATTGACAGAAATGGACCTTTGAGTCGAAATTTTAATCCATTTGTTAAATCTTGCTAAAAAGTGAACATTTTATCCTTGGCCTTCTTCCTTCGGTATAGGTTTCTGTAAGGTGAGTGTCAGATACAGGCTGCAAATTATTTTGCAATAATGAAAACAAATTAATCAAACTTGTTTTTAATTGAGCCTTTAGAGCTTTATGCCAACTGATTTCCCTCAAGTTAGCGATTAAGTTCCGGGAAATTCAAAAGCAGAAACATTTATAACGGCAAATAAGCTCTGTGTTAATATAGCTGTGTAGATATATATCTTGTCAGAAACAGTGTCATAGAGTGGCCAACTTATCTGCGGTCAGATTGTTTCAGTCAAAAGTGCCTTTTGCTTTGGGACTAAATCAACAATGGCACAATTTATCTGTGGTTTATCTTCAAATGTTTTTGTATTTTTCTTGCGAACATGCGTCATTTTCGCAGGAGACCAGCCCTAAAGCATCAGGAAACGCTTATATCCGCTTAAGGTCCACTCAGTAACAAAAAATGGATAAAATATTTCGTACTCAGCGCACATATACGCATAAAAAACTTTAGATTTTAAATTTTTTCCCTTGCTAATTTTTTGTCCCGTTTTTGAATTGTCGCCAAAAGCTTGCGCTATCCTAGACGGGTTTTAATTATTAAATATACTTCTAGGCTGCAGGGACTTTGCGTATCCACAACGGATAAGAAATTACCTTTCATGTATTCCTGGTGCGCAGCAACACATCTGCAGACGTACGTCTTACAACCTAAGGTGGCTTATGATAAATAACCAAAGCAGCATTCGCCGATCGCAGTTTTTGTCCATGGATTCTGCAAAAAATTGCGATGCACATTCCTTTGTCTACATAACCTCCGGAAGCCCCGTTTAATTGGAAGTCTAGTCCAGTTAACATGAAGTGCTGGGACGTTGTCTTTGTCTCAGAATCCTACTACTTATGAAAAAACAACAACCCATTGCTATAGGCACATAACCGGGAGGTGATAATTATTGCAAGTCTTTAATGTGTGTATTTCCCATGTAAATAATTGCTGAATAAATGAAAAAACTGGCAACTGTAGTTTAAGTAGTGCACCTCATATACCCCTAGTTCCAAAAATTTTTCCTAGGAAAACGGTGGTTATAGGGGATTTTGGAGGGGTAGGGGAAATAGAATAGGCAGTGAAAAAAATCTGTAGAAGTAAGCATAAGGTATAAACATGTAGTTCAATTTGTTTCCTGCAGCCGCTGGGGAATTAGTTGTCCCGTAGGTAAATTAAAGGTGTGCGCTGCCCTTCACGCCGCGGACTATACTAATCATACTCCCGAACCATAAGTTGAAGTAGACGATCTCCTGACCCCCATTCCTATTTTTCAGGAATTTCAAGCAACCTGCATTTTGATAGTTGGGTTTTTTCGCACTACGTTAAACGATAATACAGGTAAGGGAAATCAACAACATTTCAAAATGCAATAAAAGAAAAATGCATACATCAGTTATAAAAGTATATTTTACTGCTTATCCTAATTCCCCACCCCTAAAACTCCAATAACCACCATCTACGTGGTACAAAATCCTGGTACCAGGGGTATATGAGGTGAACTACTTAAACTACTGTTGCCGAAAAACTTAAAATGTACTGCATCAGTGGACGTTTTTTAGCTTTCAGACATAAACAAAAAGTCCACCCATGATGCGACTATGCCAGGAATTACTGCATACAGGTTTTTGGTAGAGACTTTGCATTACTTTTTCCGATTTTAAACGTGCTTAGCAGGAAACGTCTGTGTTAAATCTGCCAACGGCTAGTCTTACTATAACAAAAAGATGGCTTACTCCCGTTTTAACTATTGCAATCTTATGTGGTATTCGTGGTACTGTGTTCTTTAAGCACTCCTAAAGCAACTTTTGTGGGCATGGGCTTGCAGCTAAAGAACTTTTTTGCATTGTTAAACCTCCAAAAGGGCAGCCCTGTCAGACAAAGGCCTGAGAGAGACCCCAATTTTTAGCGGCGCACGAAACCCGATGATTCATATCGCTACTTTTATAACCGAGTCGGTTCGGACTCAACAAGAAGTTTTGATTCGCAGAACGAATCTTCATGACAACAATCGCAAAACCCGCGGGGCACCAAAAAGTACAAATGCATTCAAATTGAGTGTACCGAAATGATAATTAAAATGAAACTATCTATTTTTAACGTTGCAGCTAGTACGAAGCAATCTGGTATCATATGATCTACTTATGAAAACACGTGAAAAGACCTCTGTGCGAAAAAATCAAAAATCTTAAAATTTTGCACTTTTTAAGAAGTGACGTCCTTCGTAACCGCTGATTTGTTTTTCCATGCCGTATTTTATATTAAAAATATACTCTAAGGTACGTTAGATATGAAGTTACATGGCGGTCCAGTCTTCCGAACAATCGTTTTGTCTGATATCCCACGGCAGTTCAGCGGCATGGTCATCTGTCAAAGTATACAATTTGGTCCTCGTCGTTTTTTCCATGAAATAACTAACGAAAAGGCTTTCCTTTAACAAACATACTCCTAAAAGATGAGTGAATATAAATGAGCGCTTCTAGATCCGACATATATATGTGCTGTTAACGCAATGCTTGATGAAACCAAACGTAAAGTAACTCAAAAGGTATTATGGACATTAAGGATGAAACCTTCAGGCTTGTATTTCCCTCATAGATTAACATTTATCTATGCATGTTTTACAAGAATCCCCCAGTAAATTAACCCCCCATTCAAATTGACAAAAGACTTGGGGCACTTTTTTATTTTTGTTAAGAACAACAAATAGTAAGTACATTCTGCTCACTGTCAATCCGCGAGCCTAAGTGGTTACGCTAAAAGACTCACTAAAGACGAAATTCACTTCAATGGCATAAAACATAGTTTTACTCTAAACAGTTTAACCTTGTAGTTATTCCTTTGGTGTTGTAATTTACCATAATAACAGCCCAGCTACTACTTAAAAAGCCCAGACAAGTGTTTTTCTGGAATTCTGTCGTTACTTGGGATAGCTGCGCGGGGTTCGGCTCATCCTTTTCGAGTTCCCTTTCCATTCCTTTGAGTTACTTCCATCGCACCATCTAATATATACCTCAGACTTTAAGTATCTTTCCTAAATTTTAATCAAAACTAACACTGTTAACTTTCTCCCCTGTAGGGGGATCGCCTAGAGGAATGGAAGTTCGCAAGAGCGAACTTATGGATTGTCTATATCGAACAGGAGGGTGTACTACCGGCCCCAATGAATCTTTTGCCCTCGCGGGTGGCCTTGACCAAAATTGTTCAACGAACCTGCAAAGCTCTGCGTCGATGTAAAAGCCAGTTCCCCGCGTGCCCTAATCATCGAGCGCCCGAGGACAGGATCTTCTTAAACCAGAGCAATAGCGTAGACAGCTCAGGGCAAATGATTCAGTTAGAGCCGAAGCAGCAATGGAGCGTCAGTGAGGACAATCGATTCCCCTCACGCAAAAATTTACAGCCAAAGGACGAGGTTTGTGTGCTTCTATCGCATTTTTTTGGGGGGGAGGAAGTTTCTGGCAGATTTATTCTTTTGAAATGCTGAATAATACACGTTATTAGTACGGTAATACAATCAATTTAGACTGCGCTTATTCTTAGGAGGAAGTGCCAGATGCCATGTGGCACCACTAAAGTTGCCTTTGTAGTACCTATACGAGAACGCTTATTTACTTTTTTGGCTCAGTTGTGTGAAAAGGATTCTGTCACTAACAACTACCTTCAGTAAAATTGTATCGTGGAAATAATCGAGCGTAGCCCTAACTCCGAGATTCCAGCCATTTGATGTAACTATTCGTCGAAGTGCAAGACGACATCTCGAAAGTTCTCAAATGTTAAGCTAGGGTTTTTTGGATCTGGTTGCGCAGTCTTTAGAGGATTCATCTTTAACGAATACCTTAATCAGAACGTTTGTTTGCTTACTACGTTTCTTCTGAATAACTTCAGTTTTAGTAAGCTGAAACTACGTCAACCAGCACATAATTACAATAAGTGTAGAAGCCCATTAAGAACGCCAAAATCTGCAAAATTTCCAAAAGTTTATCAGAGATCATCCCAGGTATATCGGACGTGAACCATCTTTGAACAGTAAAACCTTTAGCAACAAGAAAGTCAGGAAACGTCCAATTTGACAGGCGTTGTTTTTGCGGCAAAATTTAAATTGCCTGAACGTTGTCTTATTTAAACAAAGGTTGCAGAAGTACATAATGGTGGTTATTTCGAACGAATAAATACAAAGACCCGAGTGAACTGTAGAAAGGCCTGCTTCAGGTTGTGAATGGCATCAGCATCCTCTAAATGCAATATAGAGCATGTCAAAAAGTAGAGTGATCAGAGACATCTGAAATGAAATTGTGGATTGCTGCGTCCGACGCTTTTTAGTGGTGTTGTTGACAGGCAACTTATCAGAGTAAAGTTAATTTTTTTAATTTCCTGATTGTAGTTGCTGCACTTATGACATATATCATTAGGCAATGCACACAGAGTTTGAGCATTGGCTTAAATTCTTACATAAACTGCGATCGTAAATTAAAAACAAATTATTTAGAAAATTGTTAGTTTCTCTTTGACATTGATGGTTATAGAATAGCTTAAGCGCACAAGACAGTGCACTTTTACAACCTATGACTAGTCATAATAGATTGAACTACAAATGCTCTCTCCAAGTTCTGGCACTGTAAGGGCCCCAGTCACGGCTCCTCGCAGATTAAGACCAACAGTCTTCGGCCATTCCTATTGAAGGCCCAAAGGTAATTAGAACATGTCCTGCATGATTGCATTTATCCAAATAAAGCACCATAGATCCTTGGGTTTATATGTGAGGACCGTTTCTAAAAGTTGGCTACAGGGTAGAGTTATCACAAGTTATCATTAGTCCAAGGACCCAGAAGGTCCAGGTTCTAATGCTGAAGTACTATTATTTAAAATATCTTTAGGCATAACTGAAGAAAACTTTAATGAAGACTTCTCTCAAAGGGTAAGCCAATACCACAATGACAAAATAACAGGTTTGTTGGTATCCTCTCCTTCTTCAAAACGGAAATTATAGTTTCATAGAGCAAAATTATAAATTATCTCAACAGCTTGTCTCGCTTGATTTATGCTAGATAAAAAAAATTAGTTTCAAGTGTGTGAATGCGACTTGCGCAAACCTTTCATAATTCGCCTTCTGCAGGCCAACAGAAGGACCGGTACGTGCAGGCTAACTCTAAGATATGTACTGGGAGATTAAACAGTCCAGTAAAGTAGTTTATAAACTTACATGGCATGCGCAGGGAAGCTAAATGACTCATATAAGGTTACTACTGTAGAATTTATTAGCTCCGGGTCAACGCACACTGAATTTCTCGATTTCGGTTGTGTTTTCACCTGTTCAACCACTTACTTTGTACGCATTAATTATAGAAGGAATTGCTTGGTAGAACACTCCAGAATATTTTTTTATCCCATGGTCAAATAAGCACGTTTTTGCCAACAATAGCTTAACCCATGACACTATATATTAGAAATAATAACAGTGGTATGTATGTATGGACTTTTCCCATCCCTTTACGTCTTCTCACTTGACTTCTTCTGTTTCAGGACCACCTCACCCAGGTCAAGTCCAACATCATGCGCCGGTTCTTATTTCAACTACAGAAGCAAAAGGAGGCTGAAAACAAATCTGGCGGTACGTAAATGTGACTTTTTAATGCTCTGGATATTTACATATGTCAGCATGCCCACAGAAGAACAACATGAGGACTACTGAGTTATGGCCTAGTGAAGGTAGAGGGAGCCGTAGATTTCTGATTCTATGGGCGTCTGGGGAATTACTTCGCTTATTAATCCTCTAAGTGCGCGGAAGCTGGGAGACCAACACAAAATCTCAGTTCCATTCCGCAATCAGACTAAATCAGTGAGTATGAAGAAAAATATGTGATCGCTGGGGTAAGAATTCTTTTCGCCTGACCTTTCAAAACTCGTCGCGGATACTTCATCAAATAATTTATCAGAAACAGTAGTAGCAACGGGGAATTTACGCACACGGAGAGTTTCCGTATTTATAGGACACAATCACTACTGCAAATTTATGACAATTAGGGATAACTGCCCGGTTGTGAGCTAATTGCTGAACAGCCGGCGTGCGGGCCGTGACCTGGCGATCTTTCATCCATGTGTTGGAGCTGGACGTAGTGATTGCTGGACCATCTGGCGCCAACTTTAGACGACGCGTTGGCCTGTGTGGTTTCCCAGTGGCGACTTGCTTTGACCAAATTCAGCCTCAGCACTGGATATGGATTAGGCAAGCCATTGCACTTGTTTATAGACTGGAAACCCGTAAACCATGACTCAAGTAATTCGTGGTTCATACGATTTTAACCTCTCGCAGGAATTTAAATCTCATCAAATTTGAGTGTGTGGCCCGGTCTCTCCGAATAAGTTGCAACTTGAGAATTGGCGTCATTTCTCTGCATTGCTACCCCATGTTCGGCAGTTCGCTTCTTGGGAAGTCTTATAGGACGCGGCGAAACCTAAAGTGTGGACAGGTTTGCACAGAAATCTACCTGAATATGATAGAGGAATACCCTCTACTGTGATATGATCCTTGCTGGGGTCAACTGTTGCAACACACATTTGTGAATTGTTTTGAAAAAAAGCTGTTGGACTATTTTGGTATGGCCAACCATCAGATCTTTTAAGGTTTGACCTTAAGGTCTACATTGTGACAAATTTCGCCTGATGAAAGTTCGTAAAACCAAACTGAAAATCGTTCTTGTTTTGATAAAAAGGCCACTGGGAGCAGCAGTTAGAAAGTTTACAGTCAGGGCACATGGCAGGTTAAAGAAGTGAATTAACGCTACACTTCAATTAAATTTAAAGCATGTTTTGATGCAAGGCAAGACGCGATGATATTGTTTTAGGTACTGTCGGGAAGCCCTCTTGTATTCATAATGTATTCCTGGTGTCTATAATTTTTATCCTCGGTGACAGAGTGTGTTAGATGCAGTGCAAGTCTACTATTACTTAAATCTTCTTCCCTCGCAATTCACCATCCATATGCCACTATGCTGTGGTGGAGCATACGGCGGACTTCGCCGGATACGGTGGTCGAAGTGCCGTATGAGACTGACAGTCGTCGACCTAGCCAGACTATAAAACAGAATGCAGGCGTTAAGCGTTGAGTGTTAATACTTCGCCATGGTCGATTGCTTGAGAACAAGAAACACAAGAACAAGGGGAGAAAGAAGAAGAAGAAGAATCGATCTTTGAGATAGGACAATTATTCGCCCGACATTTCGAAGTCCGTCGCGGATTCTTCATCAGAGATATTAGAATTGTCAATACAAGCGAACATGCGTGTCCCAGGTAGTAATTG